CAAAAGACAGCAACCAAAACCGGCGCACGAAAGTGCACGGTTAATGGTTGTTCAAACTGAACTGAACTGAACTCGGCTACATCAACCACGTGGTTTTACTCTACTCGGTGTGAAACAATCGAACTGTTGATAATCCAACCACCCCATTATTCAGCCAGACCGGGTGGTGCTCGCGGAGCCGTTCAGATATCTGCTGGTGTGGCCAATATAACTTGTCGCACAGGAACCAGTACAGGACCACAATTTATCTTGGAGTTAAAAGCGCCAAAGTGGCCTGGAGATGAATACAGTGCGAAGTTTTAACGCGAGGAATGCTTTCTCCACAGCTGTACTGTTTACCTATCGCAAATTCGGCAATTGTTGTCTTTAAAAGGCAGTTATTCGTACACCGGTTTCTTCTCCACGGTAGTGATCTTATTCGGCAACCGGTAACGCCTTATAATGTTGCTTACGAACCGTTCTGGGTATCCATTGAGAAGGAAAACCTCAGTTCGCTCCCAATGGTCTCATTAGTATATGTCCTCCGCTCTCAGTTAGCCAGGCACTGAATCGGGTTTCTTTTACGTTCCAATGGCACATAACATTGGGATAAATATACTGATTATTCCACGATGACTTACTGTGGATGGTGCACTGGATAGTTCCTTCTGGTCGACGACTCAGTAGAACGTCCGGAAACGCGATCTGCTTATTCTCTTAAGTGAACTTTACTTTTGGATGTACTGAGTAAAGTACTTTTAAGAGTTTTGACAGATTCACACTGACATTGACAAAGCACATGTGTCGCTTGTATAACACGCAGCGATCGATTGTTCGTTTGAGGATGTTATTCTCCAGTTTAGCCATGAAGACAGCTGCGAAAAGTGGACCCAGGAGAGACCCCATCTATTTGTCGTGGTTGGATTTAAACTGTATATTTTGTGCACAAGTACAATATTCGTTTGAGATCACTAACCGGTATCCTAATTTCGCAATTACTGCTTTGTATGTGGTCACATATGCATTCAACAGTTTCAGCAATAGGAAGAACGTTTGTCAAAAGGGAACTGACTTTGAGTGGTGTCATGCGTAATCCGTTTACGTTTGAGTCTTTAATTCTGGTAAGGGGAGATACACATCGCCAGGATCGGCCGAGGAGGAACTCCATTGTTGTTTGGATAATCGGTCCTGTTGGTCGTATTTGTTCAAATGTGGCAGCGTCCATTACATCTCTCTGCTTTAGGCACCAGTGTTTTTGACAGCGATTTTTCCAGTTCTTCTGTTGTACTTTTCCCTTCAGCTTTTTTCTGAAATTTCCTGGAGTCAATGAGATTTGATTCACCCAAGTGCCTTTTAGGGTCGCGTTTAGATGGTCAAATGGCGGGTGAACTCTCCCTCAACCACTGTAAAACTAATAGTTGTCTGACCCCAGAGAGGAACACAAGCTATCGTGCCACATCCCCCGGTGCAGCCTTTGTTGTGATCTCCATAGGTTTGAGCGCTGGTTGAATACACGAGAAACGGGTGCATGGCCCAGTGATAAATTCTCCATAAACCTATGGCAATATCCGTGCGACATTTTTGCGTATTCAATCAGCGGAAAACGAAAACATGGTACGATGCTGCCCGATCGGAATGATAGACTCCTGTCCCAGCCACTCAAAGTGGCTCTGCAAGATTCTTTTATTCAATACACAACTATACAATCAATATACAGGAACGGAAAAACGCCAAACCAGAAGCCTGCCATGACAATCTACCGTAATCCCTACATGTAGAGCTAAATCCTCCGCAAGCTACCTGTCTTTGTTTCAAACAGGAACTGTTGGAAATATGAGCAAAATATTCACCTTAATCGAAATACATCAAAAACTGTTAAACACTGGGAATGAATAAGGCCACAAACAAACACAGTTAAGAAATATTCCGTCAAGGCCATTTCTCAAACTGAGTAAGCCAAGCGGTGCACGAAAAAAAACAAAGATGATGAAAGAGATTTATCAGTACCGATATAACCTGGATATACTGTAACAAAGTACACACGGCATCAGTTTGTGACTGGCAAACGCAAGAAAACGGGTACAACGATAGGGACGAGAATGATAAGCAGATAAAAAGAAAACAATTTCAGGAAAACAGGTAGATACATTTTTCTTTTCTCAAACAATCACATAACGTCTAGATACATCATTTTACAGTGATTTTCGCAGCCATTTTGTCGGAGATGGTGTATTGATCCCAGTTTTTGGTCGGATCGTAAGGTTCCCATCGACTGGCCGGAAAGATGTGCTTATTCCTCTCGTACCAACTGCGAAGACACACTTTGCCCGCATGCGACTCTTCCTTTTCCACATTTGCATCCATTCGCAAGCGAACATCATCGTGCACGTCAAAACAGAACAAAGGACCGGACTTGCCCCGAGCTTTGGTTACGATAAAGTCGTAAAAACTGTAGTGATGTGGAATGATGAGATCTTCTTTTATATACATAAGTTGATCCGCTGTTGCGGATTTTAGTTCAGTGAACTCCTTGCGCAGTTGTTCAAGACAACGATGGAGGAACAGGTGAATCGAATGCCCTTTCTTCATTCGCACTTGTTTTCGATGTCCGGAACCGTCCCAGTAACTGTATGTGATGCTAATTTCTTCTTCCTTGATTGCGGCCTGTTTTTCTACCCATTCCTTGCGGAGCTCATCCCTGAAAGGGAGAATAAAATAAGGCAATGCGAATGGTGTGGAAAGTATTTCGTCTAATTTGGTAAATGGACAGCCCGAAGAACTATCGCTTCAAGACAGGAGGAAAATACAATGGGTACTTTCTCATGATAATGAAACTACGGTGCAATTAAAGTTCATACCTGGAAACCAAAACTTTAGATTCAGAGCATGGCACAACCAAAATACTTATTTTTAATTCTATAATCCCGGGAAAACAGACTGGTCGAGTTTTTAAAATGTGAGCAAAAGCTTATAAATACGCCTTTAATTTACCTCTAAATAGTGGCATTCATAACCCTTAGGAACAGCGAGACCGGAATAGTCTCCAGTTTCATTTACTGTACGCCGATGCCACTAGCATACAGTATTTGGATTAATATCTCGTCATGACCGATAAGCCCGCTGTGGTAGTGGACAGATGGGTTGAAACATTTAACACTTACAACCGGGGTCGTAACCAAAAGTTTCAACTGAAACCAGAGTAGATGTGTTAATCGTAACAAG